TGATATTTCAATTATATTCCAAATTCATCAGAAATTACCCCTGCCCCCCCCCCAACACCCCCCACCCCCCATCCCATGGGGGAAAGAGACAGTACAGCAAACGTCCTTGCCGTCCGTATAAACTGAAAAGTAATTTGTACCGTATGTTTTCTGCAGGTTTCTGTGTATTATAAAGGATGCTTAAAGAAAACGATGAAAGAATTTGATTCATGTTTGAAAGGCAAACCATTCACATTCAGAGTTGGCCAAGGCGAGGTCATAAAGGTCTGGGATAATGGCGTTGAAGGTATAGCTAAACACTCGTGTGAATTTTTATCTGATATAGCTGGGTTTCACTCACGTGATATGTTTAGCGCTTGGTCGTCAACTCAAAATGGAAACACATTTATCGGATCGAGTTAAATTTACATTATAAGTATTGATCTTGTGTTTGGTAACAAATATATATGAAGTTCCGCTGAGTTTAAACACTCGTAATAGAGCTTCGTGAACATAATACTATTTCTAGTCTTTTGAACACAGAAGTAAATACGCGCGGATGTTATACAGTCTCTGAGACTGAGTGTCCTCTAGTTACTGTTTTAATACCTTCGCGTATCTCGGGTACGTAAGTATGCGAATTATCGCAACCGGTTACTGAACCTCCAGCAAGAACTGTTAAAACTGATACAACAATACAGTTTATAAAAACGTGTTAGTATTTAATGATTTTTGATTCAATTATAGGAATGCAAATTGGTGGTAAGCGCAGATTGATAGTTCCGCCTACACTTGGGTATGTTTTAACTTTGAAATTGAAATTTATTGCGAAGCCTAATGAATAAGAATGAGTATTCAAATCTTAATTTCGATAAAAGTGGTGGCGGTTAGGAATTCTCAGACAAGGGGGCTTAGGCCCCCGACTGGGGTTTAGGGCCATGCTCTTTCGTGAAGTTTTGAACTTTGAGTCGTTGAAACGATATTTCCATTCTTTTCCTACATTTTGAGGATACCTTGAGGCAGAATACAACTGTCTTTAAAAGTGTGTTTAACAACACTACAAAACACGCTGGTCACAAAACATGGTTTCTTCCCCGACAAAATTCTATTTTTTCCCTCGAGGGGAGACTCTTCTGCCACTCCTGACAAAAACCCCCTATACTTTTGGAGTTACTTCTGTGAATTGTCAAAAAAATTTTGAAAACATTTTGGTTCTATGGAAAACTTGCATGTTAATATTAATCTAACACAGCTTATGCAAAATTTGGTTGCGTAATGTTTTAAAGCTTGGAAAATATAGCCTTGCAAAATTTCCAAATTTTGTATAAGTTTGTATTAGCTATACGTGCGGAAATTGTTACCATTTTTGAGCCGAATAAATATGCAAACTTCGCAAGGCTATATATAGGCTATATTCTCCGTATTTTACAACATTAATTTTGTAACCAAATTTTGCAATTTTACTAATTTTAATAAGTTCTGTACTGGAATTTACTTTTTTTTCCTGGATCAAAAATTAATCTAACATGCAAGTTGTGTATTGTCTTGTAGGTATGGTTCGAAACCAATGGGCTCAAGTATTCCTCCGAATAGTACATTGATCTTTGTGATTGAATTATTGAAGGTGCATTAAGAACAGATTAAAAACCATCACAGACTACCTGGTGATTCGCAAGACGCATGCTGGTCAAAAACGCGTCGAGCATGTTAACATCAAAGGACGCTTATTTTAGAGTTTGCTTCAATATGCAATAGATATGAAAAGGAAGGCGGTATTTCTCTCTTGCTTTAGTACCGTTAAACAGCTTTAGCTAGTATATCTAATTTCACAGCACCTTCCTTATGTGCTGATTACATGGAGCTTTTTCAGCGCCAGAGCTGAATTCGGCCTTGTTAATCGGGCTAAAACTTTTTTAAATTACATGGACAATTTCAACCCTGGGCCTGAATTCAGCCCTGTTGACCGGGTTGAAATTTTCAGCCCTGCCTTATTATAAACCCTCTTTAAATGGAATGCGTGATTACATGGCGAAATTTTCAGCTCAGCTAGGGCTGAGTTCAACCCAGGACTGAAATTTCAACCCGGTTTTTAGCCACCCATGCAAGTTGAAATGAAACGATTACATGGCAAAACTTTCAACCCCGCGGATATAATTTTCAACTCGGGTAGCTAAAAAACCGGGCTGAAACTTTTCGATGGGCTCAGCCCTAGGCTGATACGGTTTTATCCACAACTGGGGAATCGTAGCATTCTCTTTTGCAATGTGCATACCCGAGTTGGACACACAGGAAGCAACGAAAAACAAAAGCTATGGTAGTTACGATATGGTCCAAGTCACCTTATGGCCATATATTTGTGATATCTATTGGTTTCCTAAATATGTTTGATCATTCAAGAAATATACTCATATTTGATATTATGATTTATTCAATAACAATTGCAGTAACCTTTTTTCTACTTGTTTATATTATAACAAACGTTTTTTTGTGAAAGCTTAATGCTGAGTTCTGGTTCTAAATTTTGTTATATCTTTTTTCTCCGTAAGTTTACAGTATTTCTTCAATATTCACAAAATTCACACTACAGTATCGTAAACAAGTAACCAAACATTCGGCGGTTGCCGTTGGTTTTTGTACTAAGGTTATTACTGAGTGGTAATAAACTGTTAAACTAGATTTATACCTAATGGAGCATAACCGCATAAAAACAATCTTAACTGAGCCGTGATCTAATAAATCAAAAAAACATTTACAGTACATATGTTTAAAGTTTCCTTGCATGATTATTAATAACCGATATTGTTTAGCCAAGAAAAACAATTTTAACCAAGCCATGCTCTAAGGCATCACCATAACCAGATTGCTTGTCAAAGCCATGGTTAACTGAGCCACCACCCCCTGCGATACCATAAGTAGAGTTAGCCCACACACCTCCCCCGCTATATCCTCCCCCTCCCCCTCCGTTTAGCGCACCATAACCACCACCACCAAACCCTCCATCACCATCAAACCCAATATTGGTACCACCTCTCCCTCCGTCGACAAAACACATAGCATGATGTGCCAGGTTAGGACTTCTACCGTTACTTAGCAACCCAGCTCCACTTCCAGCGTTGATCGTGTATTTCTCTTCATTAGAACATAGCATTCCCCCATTTCCTACCGTACTGTTACATCTACTCCCTAATACCCCTAACTGTCCCGAATCAGCATCAAATGTATCTGTCCCAAACCCTACACCGTTGCCGCCACCGCCGCCGCCACCAGCAGCAATAACAAGGGGGATATTATTCACGTAAGTTACAAAAGACCCACCTCCACCACCACCAACATCAAGAATTAAATCGAGAGTCTGTAAATTAATTGTAAGTGTATGCATCATTCCACGCTGGCCAACAAGAATTTTCAACAAGGTCCCATGAGTAAGCCAAAATGTTCCGCTTATTTTCGCTCCCACGCCTCCATGATGTCTTTTTGTCACATGCTTGTCCCCAAGCTTATTGCGCAAGTCATAACTGCCGTTTGCGCCAGCTGCACCACGTGACTCGATTATGTAAGTACCTGTGTATGGTACTTGCCACATCTGGATTCCAGCATTCAACGTAACCTGGCCTTCTAGAGTCGTTCCTAGGTAACCACTCGTGTTTGCAGGTCCCTCAGGTCCTTTTTTTCCAAGGTTGGTAAAAACATAAGCTAAAAGTTTGACAATGGAAACCCATGTTAGAAAACATTCCGAGCCTCAGTCGGGGATTAGTGACTACCTCCAATAAATATTAATGTTGAAGTAGTGCATTGCAGGGTCGAGAAC